GGTGCTGCCACCAGCCTTACACTTCTGACACCTCGATGCCTCTCTGACTTGGCGCTACCCTTCATTGATTTTCGTTCTGGTACTCTGAGCTGTCCATCCAGACCAAGATTTTTTTTTTTTGAGAAAGAGAGTCTCACTTTTTGCCCAGGCTAGAGTGAGTGCCGTGGCATCTGGAGGGACGGACATATATTTCCTAGTTTAAGAATTAAAGTTAGTAGTAATGTACGTGTTCTGCCCAGAGCGTTTGAAAGTAGTCTGTTCGGGACAGGCTCCCTGTGATAAACAAGGTGTTGCCTAGAGGCATAACAAAGGACCTGAGTTTAAGTAAGCAAGAGCTACCTCACCCCACAGCATTGGTCGGCGAGCTACACGATAAACACATTTTCCTGTGATTTTTGCGTACACCCATAAGATGGCTGGTTAGTAATGACAGTTAAGACCCCTCAAGGGAGGGCGACCTAAGCCAGCACAGCGCCGGGGTTCAGCCGAAGATCTTAGGGGTCATCCTAAGAGAAGCTGGGATGAGAAATGCGCCCCTGTGGCTCACTTTGTCCATCCTTGCTAATCTTGGTCCTTTATCTATGCCTAGTGCCTACAGCAACCACCTTGAGATTACGAGTCAGGACAACTGCTTCCTAAGGCTACCCATCCAATTTATGGCTATCGCTGCCATGCCTGGTGTGTACGTACAAGAACTAACTTTAATCTTTATTATTTATTATTATTTTTGAGACAGACTCTTGCTTTGTTGCCCAGGCTAGAGTGAGTGCCATAGTGTCAGCCTAGCTCACAGCAACCTCAAACCCCTGGGCTCAAGTGATCCTCCTGCCTCAGCCTCCAGAGTAGCTGGGACTACAGCATCACCACCATGCCCGGCTAATTTTTCATATATATTATTATGGCCAATTAATTTCTTTCTATTTCTAGTAGAGACGGGGTCTCACTCTTGCTAAGGCTGGTTTCGAACTCCTGACCTTGAGCAATCTGCCCGCCTCAGCCTCCCAGAGTGCTAGGATTATAGGCATGAGCCACTGCAACTTTAATCTTTTAGAGTATAAAAATAAAACTGACCCGGTGTATTATTACTCGAATCAACCATTTGTACATGTGTCTGCATTTTTCTTTATGTTCTGAGTTTGTGTTTTGTGTTCTGTGTTCATCCTCCATCCTGTAAATGGGCCACAACAGCATCAGCCTAGCTCATAGCAACCTCCAACTCCTGGGCTCAAACGATCCTCCTGCCTCAGCCTCCCGAGTAGCTGGGACTACAGGCATGCGCCACCATGCCCGGCTAATTTTTTCTCTATATATTAGTTGGCCAATTAATTTCTTTCTATTTCTAGTAGAGACAGAGTCTCACTCTTGCTCAGGCTGGTTTCGAACTCCTGAGCTCGAGCTATCTGCCTGCCTCTACCTCCCAGAGTGCTAGGATTACAGGTGTGAGCCACCGCGCCGGCCCAGACCAGGAGATTTGAACACAGGTAGAGCCACTGGGGTTTCTCTTATGTTCTTCCTCGGGTGCTGGGTTCTGATTCTCGCTTACCAGTGCTCCTTGTACCCCTTTCTAGCCAATCGCCATCCTTCTTACTGAGAAGCCAGGGCACTGCAAAGTCCTGCTTTCTCTCTGTTGTCTGGAAACCTCATGCATTGGCCTTGAGCAAGGCCCATCCCTAACTTGTCCTTCTTTTTCCTCTTGTCATGACCAGTGTCACTCATACCCAGACCAAACTTCCCTGCCTTTCCCCTGTGGGCATCCAGACACCACGAAGCCTGAGGTGCCAGGTGCTGCTCTCCTGCAGTCAGTGGCTGTGCTATGGGGGCTGGACAGGACACTTCGCACTTTTGCAGTTGCAAAGGCCCTGGCCACGCCCACTGATGGTGTAAGTGCATGTTTTTAATTTATTTTGGCCACCAGATGGCATAACTGAGTGCCTTAAACAAAAAAGATGAAAAAGAGAAAAGAGGGAGGCTGCCACTCTGAAACAAAAACCAAAGCCCTAGATAATTATTGCTGAAAGAGTCCGTGAGAAAGCACATGCCGCGTGGCTGTCCTGGTGCCAGTGGACATTCCAACGTGGTGTTCTGGCCAGCAGGTACAGACAAATTCCTTTCTGAACCTTCAAATTCCAAACATGGGCCTCCCTTGCCTGTGCATAAAAAGCCACCTGGGAGGAAGAATGAGAAAGGAGTGTGTCTTTACATGCTTCTACCCTGCACCTTCCTTTGTGGTGAACTCCTGCTGTCAGGCCTTCGACCTCGGAGTGGGCGGAGGAGCGATGAGAGAGCATCCCTAGCAGTGGCCTGGCTGGACCACAGCATGCATCACGTCCTGCGAGGAGAAGTGCTGACAGCCCGTAGGAATGAGGCCGAGTGTTAGCCTGTCCCTTCTGGTTACATTTGGACACAATTTGGTGCTTGCGGGATTTGGGTTACAGAAAGAAGGAAACTGCGAAAGTAAACACATTCAGTGCTTGTTTTGTGCTTCCCTATATTTTTGACCCTGGAGAATTTTAAAGAGCTATTTCTAATGTTTGTTTTAGGTGATGGGATTTATTCATTCAACAAATATCCCAGGAGATAAATAGCAAATAAGTTAGTGTTCTAGCCTTCAAGGAGTTTTCTAATTTTGGTTTTTAGTCCCACGGGGACAAAGCAGAACCCCAGGACAGGCTCTTTGGTCGAGACCCCAGGGGACACTCGATGCTCAGAGGCGTGAAAGGAGAGGCTCTCCTGCTGAAAGAAGTGCTTTGAAACTCGGCTGAGGCCGGGCGCGGTGGCTCACACCGATAACCCCAGCACTCTGGGAGACTGAGGCAGGTGGATCGTTTGAGCTCAGGAGTTCGAGACCAGCCTAAGCAAGAGTGAGATCCTGTCTCTACTAAAAATAGAAAGGAATTAGCTGGACAACTAAAAATATATAGAAAAAGTTACCTGAGCATGGTGGTGCATGCCTGTAGTCCCAGCTACTCAGGAGGCTGAGGCAGGAGGATTGCTTGAGCCCAGGAGTTTGAGGTTGCTGTGAGCTAGGCTGATGCCATGGCACTCTAGCCCAGATGATAGAGTGAGACTGTGTCTCAACAAAACAGAACAAAACAAAACTTTGTTCACTGTGAATAAATCAAAATGGCAAATCTTCATGATGACATCCCAGCCCATTTCTCATTTCTTTTTCTTTGTTGGACCACACTTCCTCTTTCTCTGTTTCATAACAGCACATTGCATGCAATAGCTGATAATTGGGGAGGAACCCAGTGTTTAGATGAGGAGCCAAATGCAAACGAACAAACACCTCAATCCTTCCTGACAGGCTCACAGAACTAGACCACCACACTGAAACTGCGGGGAGGGAGACTTAGAAGGCTGCTCTCAGGCAGGCAGGTGAGTGGAATTGTTGGTAAACAGTTACCAATCTCAGTTTTTATAAAGTTGATAATCTCTTTGAGTTTATTTAGTACAAATAGAAACTATTTTTAAACATAAAACCTTTTAAAAACATAGGTTTGCTAAAGATTGTAATCTCCCCTATTCCTAACTTTTCATAAAGTCCTGAGTTTCTTAATTACAATGTTTTCATCCAAGAAGATTTTTAGGAACATGTCCCCTGTGGTTGGGGTAGGAATACTCTATTGCTACTTTAACAGTCTTTACCAACTACAAAGGCAAAAATTAAAATTTAATTTTCTTTCATTATTAGTGAAGTCGAATTTTTCATGATAATTGTTAGTTATGATGTCTGTGTCACAAATTGTCTGTCTGAGCTCCTCACATAGGGCGACACACAACAGAAGCAGCTGCGGGGTGCTCTCCGTGTGCTGGCGAGTGATCTGAGAGCTTTGCGTGCAGAGACTCAGTCAGCCCTGACTGCCAGGCAGGTGCAGCCTTTAGCCTCATGTGATGGGAGACATGAAGCGCAAGGAGGCCAGAAACCTGCTGAGGTCTGCCCAGAAGGTCTGGATTCAGAGCCTGTTGCCAATATTTTTCTTATTTGTCTTTCATTTTTTTCTATTAAATACAACCATTTAAAAAAATTTTGTGGTTAAATCTATCAGTCTGTTCTTTTGTTGGCCCATTTCTTCTTTCAGCTAATTTAGAACATGCTCCCCTTTTCACAGATTGAAAATATTTGGATTTGGTGGGATATATTAGATGAAGTAAGAATTTACATATACTGTATCTATTTTCTCAAACAATCAGCCATCAACCCTTGCTCCTGAACCATTTATTGAATAATATTTTCCTGTTCTATTAATATTTTTTAATGAGGGCATGTTTCAGCTTGGCTTTTATTTCATAATGGATTATTTTTACATGAGCACTATGTGTCCAGTTATTTGAGGATACCGAAGTCTCTTTGCAATGTTCCACTCTTTTCACGTCACCTGGCACACTCTGTCTCACGAAGTTATATTCGAGATTCACAAGGCCGCAGGACAGAGACAGAGTCACCGAGGCTGTAATTATCAAAAGGAGTTTTATTGTCTAGCTCGAGCTAGGGTCCCAGCCCCCAGAGTGCCAGCGCAGTGGCCTCTTCTCTGGGCAGGGACCCTCCTTTGTGTGTTAGTCCCCTTTTATAACTCAGTTGTTTACACACTGGTCATGCATCCGCCCCACTGTGGTTCTTACTTCATCCTGCCCCTGATAGGCCCTAACCTGCTCCCGGTCCTAGCTGCGAGACCCCGGTCTCCGCGTTCTTTCTCCTCTGCATCCTGTTAATGGAAAAAGCCAAACTCTGTAAAATAATTTTTTTTTTTTTTTTTTTTTGAGACAGAGTCTCGCTTTGTTGTCCAGGCTAGAGTGAGTGCCGTGGCGTCAGCCTAGCTCACAGCAACCTCAAACTCCTGGGCTCCAGTGATCCTTCTGCCTCAGCCTCCCGAGTAGCTGGGACTACAGGCATGCGCCACTATGCCCGGCTAATTTTTTTATATATATATCAGTTGGCCAATTAATTTCTTTCTATTTATAGTAGAGACGGGGTCTCGCTCTTGCTCGGGCTGGTTTCGAACTCCTGACCTTGAGCAATCCGCCCGCCTCGGCCTCCCAAGAGCTAGGATTACAGGCGTGAGCCACAGCGCCCGGCCTGTAAAATAATTTTTAAAGAGATTTATTCTGAGCCAAATTTGAGGACCATGACCCGGAGCCACTGCCAAGAGGCCTTGGGCAAGTGGACTCGCTGTGGCTGGGTTACAGTTCAGTTTTATACATTTTCAGAGAGGCAGGGGTTACAGGCAAAGTCACAAATTAATACATGAGAGGCATACATTGGTTTGGCCCAAAAAGGTGGGACATCTCTAAGCGGGGGCTTACAGGTTATAGGTGGGTTTAAAGATTCTTTGGCTGGCAATTGGCTGAGAGAGTTAGTCTTTATTTAGAAGACCAGAAAGGATATGCTTACTTTAAGATAAGGGTATGAGCACTCTGGGAGGTCTAGACAGGAGGACACTTTAAATTTATAATAGGCGCCTGCTAGGATGTTTGAGTTAAGACAGGGGCTTCTTATTTTTTAGGTGATGTTAATGCTATACCAGAATTAGGTCAGGAATCAAACTACTGCTTTGTTTGGTTAACAAAAGCCGCTTAGTGGGAATTTACTGTTTGTCAGCCTAACCCTACTGGCCTTCTTACCATTTGCCAGCCTAACCCAGCTGGCCTCTTTAGGAAGGAGTTTTTAGCAAAAAATTAAGAGTTTAGTCCTCAATCCCATAATGTACTCACAATGCCTTGCGGTTAGCAGACAGAAGTCAGTAAACAGAAGCTGGAAGGTGTCCTTTGTCCGTACAGCCCAGGATCTTACAACGAGCTGGTGCTGCTGGCTGCCTTTCTCAGCGTTACTTTTTGTGTGTTTTGGAATTTCGGTTTCCAGGTTCGTTCCAGGTTTCCTCTCCCTGTTTCAGTCCTCCCGTTCCTCACTCCTCCCGACCCAGAGGCTGTGCGCTGCCCTTCCCAGGGGCTGGCGTCCGTCCAGAGCTGGGTCTTGCCTGGCAGTCACAGCTCCTGCCTTCTGAGGACCCTGGGAGGACTCAGATCAGCCCCTCGGTGGTGGGAGGCCGAGCCAAGCCGGGTGTGGCTCCGCTTGGTGTCCAGGGGCCTCCCTAAAGTCGGCAGCAACTCGTTTCAGCCTCTTGAGGAGGGTGGAAGGGTGGGGAAGGGGCAAACCTGCCCCTGACTTTTGAGCAGTGAGCATGATGCTGGGCCCCCACCTCGTGGGCAGTTTGATTCCTTCTCATCACTCGACAGGCCCTGGACTCTGCCCTGGACTGCACTGAGCCAGAGCCCCGCAGGCCACAGCCTTGTTTGTCCTTTGCATTGTATTCCGTTTCTGGGAATATCCCAGATGGCTTTTTTATTTCCTCTGACATTGTATCTTTCAGTGCTCTGTGCTGGAAGTCCCAGGCCATCTCCTACGTGTCACTCCTGTGTCTATTTCTGTACAAGCATTAACTGCTGCTGCCTTACAATGTGCATTCAGGGACCACTCTGATAGTTTTCTCCAGTCATAGTCTAGTCGCTGCCTCAAGGCTGGGTCCGGTGGGAGGCTCTGTAGCCATCACCTGAGGTTGAGAATTGAGGAAGTGGTGCTGCCCAGCCCCCAACCGAGGATGCGTGAGAGGAACCCTGGGCCCACGGGACGGGCGGGCGCTGCAGGGCAGGGCGGTCTCTGCCAGGGAGCTCCATGCAGACATTCCATGGAGGGTCTCACGCAAGGATCTCAAGCAAATGACGGAAGTTCAACATGGCTCTTGGATGCACGTCTAGAAGTTTCATATGTGATGGGATCCTCCCAGGGTCACATGATAACCAGGACGCAGCCAGGGCGTGTGTAGCTCTGTTTCTAGAGCCCGGGGAGTAAATTGTCCAACTTCCAGCAGTTGTTTCCAGATGGAGGCAAGGCACGTGCATGGCCCGGGCTCGATCCCTCTCCTGCTGCAGCAGGACGTTTCTCCCTGGCGCGGGCGAGGGGGCGCGGGCGAGGGGGCGCGGGCGAGGCGCCCTAACAGGGAGTGCCATCGGAAGCGGTGCATCCTCTGCAGTAAATGGAGCTTGGCCTCCTGCTGGAGCCGCCTTGGCTGTGAGTCCCACACCCAGTGGCCTGCGACCGGGCCGGAGGGACTGAGGAGCGGATGTGGGCAGTCTTCCCTGGCACCGGACACACTGGCCAGCCCGCATGGCCAGGCGGTCTCCTGGGTGCCTGTGCAAGTTGGTCCCAGAAGCGAGTTCTTCCTGGAACGAGGTGTCACCTCAGGACAGAGAACGCCAGGGCTCATAACGCGGCCCTGGAGCAAACGAGCATCTGCCAGTCCCGCTGAGACAGCAGGTCGCTCTGCTTGGCCTCGGCAGTTCCGCGGGAACCTCTGGCAGTTGCACCAGGCGTCCCTTTCCTCGCCTTCCTTCGGTGTGTGGGTCTCGCTGGGGGCAGAGTGCGTGCGTGCGTCTGACTCAGTCTGTACAGGGTCACAGTGAGGGATTCTGACTCAGCTTCCCCGACTGGCGTGCTCAGCTGAGTCGCTGCTGTGGCTCAGGTTCCATCCCGCTCAAGACACGGCCGTGGTGCAGTTACGCGGGGTTGCAGCAGCACAGGACAGTGTGGCCATGCAGAAATGAGAGTGGCAACGTGTCCTTCCTGCCCCAACGCCACTCCGTCCCCTCCGCTGGTAACCAAGGTCATGAGACTGTCCTCTAGCTTTAGGGCCCCAGGCAGTGGGAGGAGAGCGCGTCTCGATTAGCTGCGCTGCCCCCAGAAGGCACCTGCAGCAGGACCGAGAGCTCTGGCCATCAGCAAGTCCCCCTTCCTGCTCTCGCCAGGTGCCCGAGGGCGAGGCTGGGCCGGACACGGGGAGGACTGCTAAGTCAGACCCTGCGTGGGCGGGCGTGGCCGCGTCTCAGGAAGGGATGGCGTGGCACAGCCGCGGGAGCGGGAGAGGAGGGAAGGGAGCGGGAGAGGCTGCAGACCTCTGAGCAGGGAGAGGCAAGGTCCAGCGGCTGGTCCAGCGCGAACCCGCGAACAGAAGAGCGCCCCGTCACCGCCGTGACTGGCTCCCTGGAAAGCACCACGCCCCTGCGGGGTGCAAGTGCTGGAGGTGACGGTGTTGGAAGCGACCCAGCAAGTCTGAGGGCGTCTCCGGGTAACCGGGGCTTGTTACTCCCTGGTGCAGGCTGAGAAAACGCCGAATTCTTCCAGAAAAGGCACCATGTCCAACACAGAGCGGCCCACGCTGTGAGCAGGCGTGCGAGGACGGTCCAGGCGGGCAGAGACGACAGGAGGGAGACAGGGCCTGCGGCCCTGAGGGCAGTGGGAGAGCACCGGTGGCTGGGTCCTCCTGGGGCACCAGGCAGGTGGCTCGGTGGGCTGCCTCCCACGTGGCCTCTGTGACAAGGTGGACAGCTGAGGCCGGGGCAGAGGGAGGACACGGCAGAAGTGCAACGTCCCTGAGAGCGGGGGTGGGCAAACCTGCAGCCTGGCCAGGCGAGGCCGGGTCTGGGGAGGGACGCCAGGAGGGGACAGCAGGGCGCCTGGTGGCGCAGAGCCCGGGTACGACGCCAGGCCCCGGCGCGGTGCTGGCTCTTCACGGCCACACTGCAGGGAGAGAGCGGCTCTCCCTGCGGCCAGACACGCCAGGAGGAAAGGGGACAAGGAGACCCTCACAGGCTGGCCCTTTACTGGAGACACTACGTCTTAGACAGAAAAGAGATTGCTTAAAAATTGTTAGAGGCCGGGCGCGGTGGCTCACGCCTGTAATCCTAGCACTCTGGAGGCCGAGGCGGGCGGATTGCTCAAGGTCAGGAGTTCGAAACCAGCCTGAGCAAGAGCAAGACCGTCTCTACTATAAATAGAAAGAAATTAATCGGCCAACTAATATATATAGAAAAAATTAGCCGGGCATGGTGGCGCATGCCTGTAGTCCCAGCTACTCGGGAGGCTGAGGCAGGAGGATCGCTTGAGCCCCGGAGATTGAGGTTGCTGTGAGCTAGGCTGACGCCATGGCACTCACTCTAGCCTGGGCAACGGAGTGAGACTCTGTCTCAAAAAAAAAAAAATTGATAGA